CTGAAAAGCACAGAAATAAAGGTCAATGTTTATCAGCCCCTTGCGCCATTGAACAGTGTTAGAAGCGACATCTTTTATAGTGACACAATCCATTGGGAAAGATGTCGGCTTCCTTTGGACATTCAGCAGATATCCCTGCTGGAGGAAGTTCACCTAGGCCCGGACAGCTGTATCTGAGTTCATAGAATCCCAGGGCTGGCACAGACCTCAGGAGGCATCAAGTCCATGCAGCTGCCCAAAGCAGGACTAACCCCAACTCCATCATCCCAGCCAGAGCTTTGTCAAGCCGGGACTTAAACACCTTTAGGGACAGAGATTCCACCTCCTCCCTAGGGAAACCCATCCCAGTGCTTCCCTACTCTCCCCAGGAAATAGTTTTTCACAATATCCAGCCTAGACCTCCCCTACTGCAACGTGAGCCCATTGCTCCTCGTTGTGCCATCTGCTACCACAGAGAACAGCCTCTTTCCAGCCTCTTAGGAACCCCCCTTTAGGGAGTTGAAGGCTGCTATCAAATCCCCCCTCACTCTTCTCTTCTGCAGACTAAACAGACCCAAGTCCCTCAGCCTCTCCTCATAGGTCATATGCTCCAGCCCCCTAATCATTTTGGTTGCCCTCCACTGGATCCTCTCCAATGCGCCCACATCCTTTGTGTAGTGGGAGGCCCAGAACTGGACACAATACTCCAGATGTGGCCTCACCAACACCGAATAAGAGTTATGTGAGAATTGGGATTTTTTTTATTACCTAACTGAGGGACAAATGTGTTTATTTCCTGATGTACCACAGGGGGCCTATATCTAGGGCCTATCTCTGTATTGCTGGGGTGAGCTACAATTTAACAGCAAAAGAGATTTGTAGTCCTAAAGCCTACGACCAGAGACAGACAGTGGTATTCCCATGTGAACTAGCCGGGGTGGGAGAGGAGGGACATTGCAGCAAACAGATGGATTTGCTATCATCAGATTTGCTCATTCAGTTCTATTTCCCCAGACTCCGTTCTCCTGTTCTATCCCTCTCCACACACACCCTTCTGCCATTCCCTGCTATTGATAAACTCTCCCTCTGATACTCACCTTTCATTTTAAACAAATAAATGGTGAGACCAATGCTACAAAACCAAACCACCAGGATCACACTCAGAGCCACCACGCATTAATTTGTTAGTCTTCAAAGTGCCACCAGACTCCTTTTTGTTGAAACAGACTAACCTGACTGCTTTTAAAAATACCTTTACTAGTTCCCCAAATACACTGGGAAGGAGGAGGGTTTAGGAGAAAGAAAGAGCCTGAAGCAGGGGCTTGATGCCTGAACCAAAGGTAGCAAGAGTTATACTCCGAGGGCATGTCTACACTAGCCCCCTAGTTCGAACGAGGGTGGCTAATGTAGGCATTTGTGGAATGAGGTCTAACAGTTATTCCGAACTAAGAACTTAGTTTGGATTAACTTTATACTGTCGTGTGTAGCTGCAGGCAGTTAGTTCAAACTAAGGGGATTTAAAAATGACGGTCGGATGGAAGGATGCAAATCAAGCCCGGAATATTTAAATCCCGGGCTTGATTTGCAACTTCGAATGCCTACATTAGCCACCCTAGTTCAAACTAGGGGGCTAGTGTAGACATACCCTGAGTAACAGACAGGTCATGTGAAAAGCAGATGTTTGCCTGGATATTAGTGTCTGTCAGCACTAGAGCCGCTAGCACTGATAAAAGCCCATGGAGTGCGTACATACATTCCACCAGGACAGTACAAGGACACTCCAACTTAGCACATGATACTATAGTTTGAAACAACAGGAGGGAGAGCATGACAAGGGAGGGTGAGTAGGGATGCTTTGGAGGAAAGTCCAAGGAGACGTACCAAACGTGCCATTAATGCACAAGATGATTCATTCAGCGTGTACCATAGATTGTTTGTCTCCACCTATAAATGTTGGGGTACCTTGACTTAACTCCTTCTCCAGCCTAGGGGGCAACAGTAAAATCCATATTGTTGACTGAGCTGAGTCCTTTGTCCTGAGTACAAATGCATAGGGCCTCAGAGGCTATCCGGCTACTGATGACTATTAATGTTCTTCATTTGTCAATAAACCTGACTCAGGTGCCTTTGTATTTTATCTGAGTCTGTGGTCTTTGGGGGCTCTCATGAAGTCTATTGCACTAGCTACCTGTGTAGAGCTGGCACAATCTGAGGGAGCCTATGAAAACACACGCAGCCAAACACTGGCTATCACTACTGCTCTCCTATTGAACTCAGCAAAGTCCCAGAAAAAGTGGAATGTGGCCGCCAACATTCCATCGGACACTGCAATGACCGCGAGTACTTCTGCTCCGCCGGGTTCCAGTTTCCAGGGGTACAGAGAGCACCATCCTGGAGAGTCCAGAAGATCTTGGAGCTCATTGAGGTGGGGGGAGATGAAACCATCTTGAATGAGCTTAGACCCAGCAGGAGGAACACTGAGATTTACAGCAGGATTGCAACCTGACTGGTGGCTAAAAGGAAGTTACTCATCCAGGGGTGACCGGTCACCAACAGTGGAGCACCCACAGGGACATGGCCCAAAGAAGAACCAAGTCCCTTTGTGGGCCTGGGCTTGTGGAAATTAGTCTAGTTCCACTAATTTCAACAGAGTTATTTTGACTTATACCAGCAGAACCATCTGACCTAAGAGGTCATTTCTAGACAAACTTCCTTTTTTTTTCTCTTGCTGGTGAGGTTTGGTCATTGCTCTCTGACATGCAATTTCTCACAGGTAGGCCTGGTCTACACTAGACTTGGAGGGTCGGCTTACCCCAAGCCTTGGTGGAGGTCACTCTGGGGGAGGCTGACGAGAAGAAATGCTTCCATCCCTTCCATCCCTTTCCCTTTGTTCTCAGAAAAGGAGGAGCACCTGGTGCTGGCGGGGGCTGCCTTCATCATTTGATTTATGTGTCTATACTAGACCTGCTAAATCAAAGGCCAGAAGGTCGACCTCCAGAGCGTCAAGTGTTTGGTCAGCACAGATGTGTCCTTAAGCTCCCCCTGTTTTAAAAAATGTGAATAGCAAATCTGCCAAAAGAACCAGGAAACACCATCCCCACCCCCTCCCCCATGCTGCTACAAGGACATGACCGTGTACAAAAATGTCATGTATGGAAAGAGGGAGAAGGAGACTTACTAAATGGCTCTAAGTGCTTCTCCTCATCAGAGAACAGATTCATTTACTAACCCACTGGCTGCTCCTCAAGGAGCACTAGTGCAGCACAAGGCTGCATGGCACTTGATGAGCAAAAAATTATTTTAAGTATAGAAACTGGGCTTGGCAGGGCCATGTGGGAAGGTGTAGCAAAAATGCATATTTAATCTTGGTTATAAGATCATAAGTATGAGCATAATGATTTGATGTAATGACTTGCTTATAAGTTCTCTTTGTCTCTCATAATTAAATAATGTTACTGCAAGGCCTTGCTCTCTGTTAGTATTGAAATTAAGTTGTACCCCTAGTCACTATTGATCTTGTCTGAAACTCTGTACAATTGTTTGGTGTGAATGGAGGATGAGTGAGTGAGGCCAGCACAGAGGCCCAGGTGATCAAGAAGAAGTAGAAACTTTGAAACATGCATTTTTTCTTGAGGATGAATTGAATTAGCAGCATTGACAAACCCTGGAGACAGGCAGAGACCCCCCCAAGAGTGAGAGACAATGGCTAGAACCCTGACAATCACTATCAAAGGAACACAGATTAACACCTCCTAAGCAGCAGGACACTGCAAAACCCACAGACTCCAATGGGAACTGTCATGGATAAGAAGAGAAACTCTTGCCATGGAACTCTGGGTTCAGTCCTGCAAGCTGAGCCTCAGAGGAGCTGTGAATTGCGATCGAAAATCCGACTCCTCACTCAGTCAGCCTTGCCTGGTCAGTAAGACGGACTTGAGCCACGATGGACTAGTAACTATGGAACATCTGTAGGACTCTGTGTGTGTCTTCAGAAAGCATATGCTAACTGCTTCTCTGCTGCCTTCTTAATAAACACAATGTGTTGCCTTCTCCCCTGAAAAAGATCCCTGTGCTTCTTATAAGCATAACAAAGGGAGACCAGAGCCAGACGGGAGCGACCATGGAGAACGGGGAGAGGGAAGACGGAGCAGGATGCAGATACCTGCTGTGATCTGGCTCTCTGGTCCGGCCCCACTGGCTATTTGCCTTCTCCTTCCAATCCCACCATCCCTGCATGTCCGTAAGTACAAACCACCCGGCGGCTGCATTTGGGATAAGCCCGTGTCTGGCACAACTCACCCACACAAGGGAGTGAGGGGGAATGAAACCTCCGTAGTCCCAGGCCTGGGCTCCCTGGCTCCTTGCTGTGGCATTGGGGGAGGCCCAGCTGGAGCAATAGGCCCTGCTGCAAAGGTGGGTGGGGATGGCCCAGAGCAGTGGACTGAGCTTTTCACCCCGTCCTCCAGCGCTGCCGTCAGGTCATGGGGTTGTCCCCTAAGCCTGCAGCCAGGGGCTGCTGCCGATGATCTGTCCACGGACAGAGGGGCACCCCA